CCAGCACCATTTGTTGAAGATGTTCTCTTTGTTCCATCGTATAAATTTGGATTGTTTGTCAAAAATCAGGTGTTCACAGGTGTGTGGGTTATTATCAGGGTTTTCAACTCTGTTCCATTGGTCTACCTGTCTATTTTTGTGCCAATACCAAGCTTTTTGCAGAAGTATAGCTCTGTAATAGAGCGTGAAGTCAGTGATGGCGATACCTCCAGAACTTTGTTTATTGTACATGATTGTTTTGGCTTTTGTTTCTCCATATAAAATTGAGAATTGTTCTTTCAAGATCTTTGAAGAATTGTGTTGGGACTTTGATGGGGATTGCAGTGAATGTGTAGATTGCTTTTGGCAAGATTGCCATTTTTACTACATTGATCCTACCTATCCAAGAGCATGGGAGATCTTTCCATTTTCTGGTACCTTCGTTAATTTCTTTCTTTAGAGTGTCATAATTCTTATGGTACAGGTCTTTCACATTTTTGGTTAGTGTTACCCCAAGGCATTTTATGTTGTTTGTGGCAATTGCAAAGGGTGATGTTTCTCCGATTTCTTTCTCCACCAATTTATCATCAGTATATATTAAGGCTACAGACTGTTTTGAGTTAATCTTGTATCCTGCCACTTTGCTGAAGGTGTTTTTCAGCTGTGGGAATTCCCTGGTAGAGATTGTTGGGTCATTTATGTAGAATATCATATCATCTATATTTTGACTTCTTTCTTTCCGATTTGTATTCCCTTGATCTCCTTTTCTTATCTTATTGCTCTAGCTAGAACTTCAGGGACAATATTGAAGAGGTATGGAGAGAGTGGACAGCTTTGGCAATGACCCTTCTGCTTCTATTGTGTGGAATACTTTGAGGAGAATTGGTATTAGCTGTTCCTTGAATTTCTGGTAGAATTCTGCACTGAAGCCATCTGACCCTAGGCTTTTTTTGGTTGGGAGAATTCTGATGACTGCTTTTATTTCATTAGGGATTATAGGTCTATTTAAGTTGCTTGATTTAATTTTGGTAAGTGAAATCTGTCCAGAAAATTGTTCATTTCCTTTAGATTTTTGAATTTTGAGGAATATAGGTTCTTGAAGTATGATCTGTTGATTTTCTGGACTTCCTCCATGTCTGTTGTTATGTCCTACTTTTCATTCCTGATTTTAATAATTTGCATGCACACTCCATGCTGTTTGGGAAGTTTGGATAAAGTTTTGTCTATATTGTTGATTTTCTCGAAGACCAACTGTTTGTGATATTGATTCTTTTTATTGTTCTCCTAGTTTCCATTTTATTGATTCCAGCCCTTACTTTGAATATTTCCTGGCATCTGTTCCTCCAGGGTGTATTGGCTTCTTTGTTTTCTAAAGCTTTCAGTTGTGCTGTTAATTCGCTAGTGTGATTATTCTCCTGTTTCTTCATGTGGGCACTTAGCGCTATGAATTTTCCTCTTAGCACTGTTTTCAAAGTGTCCTATAGGTTTAGGTATGTTGTGTCCACCTTCTTATTGAATTCTAGGAAATCTTTAATTTCTTTTTTTATTTCTTCCTG